AGTCACTCCAACTGACGCTCCTTCGAAAAATCTTAACCTTTCCTGTAAACCCGTCAACCCCCGCCATTGCTGACCTATTTCCGCAGGCGGCTCAGCATAACGTGAGAAGACACGAATGAGACGAAAACCCAAGTGTGTCATCTTTACTCACGCTGGGTCAGCGGAACCGTTAGCCGTGCTCTCAAGCACCGCGGGGGGTCTGTGGGGAGAGTTTTTCAAGAAAGTTTGTTGTAAATGATCAATGACACAGTCAGGCTGATGAAACACCTCATCAGCACACAAACGTTGACTTTTCCCTAATCTGTTGTCCATATGATGAAAGATTTTTCTTCTTGTGCGCGCAGGTGCGCAGTCAGGGGGTGACGGAGGAGCTCAAATGTCTGAGTTTGCTCAACGCTCTGGACCAGGACATCCCGGAGCAGCTGGCCCAGCTCCTTGGAGAACCTTGCATCAAGCTGGCTGAAGGCATCAAAGCCTACATCTCCAAGGTAATATCCCAAAACAACTCTCGTGGAGGGATCTATGGCAGTTCACGGGGGGTTCTTTGGGGGGGGGGGGTCCTTTGAGGGTCAAACACACTTGATGTGAACTGGATTTCAAAACGAAAAGGCCCCAGCAGGCTTTCCGGCAAACGTGACGAGCCAAGCGCGAGCGCTAACGCTCGCTGCTAGCATGTTTTCGCTTCCAGCGCTGTCTCGCTGCTGACTGCAGACGGACTCGGAGATTGTTGATCCTCTGTCAGGCTGCCAAACATGACTCACACATAAACACCACTGACCTTCTTTTTTTATTTTTTTAGCTTACGCTTGTAGTGTGTGTGTATATGTGTGTGTGTGTGTGTGTACTGTTTTAAGGCTCTTGAGGACGAAAGGAGTGGTGCCTTGTCATGTCCAAAATAGACCAACCGGAGGCCAGCTTGTGCTGATTTCAACCTGAACCTATTTTTATATTTGATGAGAGAGCGCGGATGGCGCGGGCACGAGATGATAAGCTTTGACTTTCTTTTTAACTCGTTTGGCCAGGACGGAACTTTTCCCGACATGTGCGAGTGAAAAAGACGGCAAGTGGAAAGCGAGAGGAGGAAAGAAGACGTGACGAGCTCTCCTAAATGTCTGCTAAAACGAATTCGATTACACGAGTTTCGCCCCCGAGCGAAGTAGCGAACACGACAGGCCAAGGACGTTCTATATTTTTGGAAACACGACTTGATCTGCTTTCAATCAGCACGCACGCCGGCGGTGTGGAAAAAAAAAAAAAGGATGGGCTCTAATCCAGAGAATACCAAACACAAAACAAGAACTTGCACAATTGACTACCTTTGGTAAGAGCAATCACTACAACGAAGACGTGCAGGGAAGTAACGTGGGAAGATGCAACATCAGTGTGAGTGGGAGTCCATTTTCACCTTTTACTGAATGCTTCAGGCACTTCAATCGTGCTCCGTAATTAACTGAGACTGAAAGGTCGAGGTCGAGCCCTGCCGTCAATCGCGAGTAATTGGCACTGCCCGTCAAAAGTTGATTTTTGCCTGCTGATTGTATCGGAAGAGTTTAAGACCGCCACCCAGAATGCTTTTGAGATCATCTTCTAGTGAAAAAGAAATGGCTTGCAGATGATCTGAGTTTAAAAAAAAAAAAAAGTCGTAATTGTCAAGCTATAAGAAGACCTCTGTCATTTCTTAACAAAGAGGAAAAAAAATAGACTTAGCAAACAACTTTTACAACACCCCAGGCTAAACTGAGCCCTTTCAAGATATCCAAAGCTGTCCTAATAGTTGATATGTATCACTTCAACATACTTCCTTGACAAAATGATAGTCATACTTTCCTAATAGCCCGGACCTGTGCGTCATTTTATGACATCATAGAGCAAAACAGAAACCAAAGACAGACCGAAGAACCGATTCCCTTCCAACATCATGACCATAAAAAGCAGTCCCACGTCATGGCGACTCAGAAATCCATCCATCCACTTTCAGATCCACTTTATCCTCACAAAGGGTCGCAGGGCGTGCTGGAGACTATCCCAGCCGTCTTCAGGCAGCCAATCGCAGGGCACACAGAGACGAACAACCATCCGCAGTCACACTCACACCTAGGGACAATTTTAGAGTGTTCAATCAGTCTGTCATGCATGTTTTTGGAATGTGGGAGGAAAGTGGAGTACCCGGAGAAAACCCACGCAAGCCTGGGGAGAACATGCAAACTCCACACAGGGAGGCCAGAGCTGGAATTGAACCTCTGCACTCTGAGGCGGATATGCCAACCAGTCACCCACCGTGCCGCCACTCAGAAATACGATTTTAATAGGGCCACATGCCGGCGTCTGAATTGAAGGCCGAGGAGCACAGCGATCGCGCAGCCAAAGTGCGCAACGACAGCGTCGCGGCCAGTAACGTCCTGCCTAGCCTCGTTTTTGCTTCTTCTTGAGAGATCACCGTCTTCCAAGTCGTTGCACTCTTACTTTTATGAATGTAGCTGGCGAGCTCACAACGATAATGTTTGCGTCATCACTCGGGGACGGTTTGAATGGCGGGAATCCAATTTTTCCAGCTCCTGGCTGCACTCACGTGCTGATGCCACGCCAGACTCACTCAAGCATGCAACCGAAAAAGAATTCCCCCAAAGTGGCAAGTCGATATAAATAAACTTCAGAATCCGGTCCAACCTTTGAACTCACCAAGACCCGTTTTTCTACTTCATTGTCAAAGTGTCCATGAAAGAAGACTATAAAACGTAATCTTCCGTGTTTCGTATTTATGTGCTTTCCCAGAAGAGTCCATGTGAAACTTAAATGAATTCCTTCATGAGAAAGAAAGCTTTTTGTGTGTTCCTGCTTCCTTCTCCGAACTCTGTTGCGGTATCTAATTAATCATCAACCTGTTATCCCAACACACACACACACACACACACACACACACACACACACACGCACACACGCAGGGCATTTCTCTCACACACACAGCCAGCCCAGGCCTGTCGAGAGCAAGCAGCTTATTCAAGTATTGGGTTGCAGCTCTCACTAATCTGCAGGAGAGAGGGGTTCCTTCATGTGCCTGCTTGTCGCTCGCCATGGCGTCGCAGCCTTTTCCCAGCCAGCCTCCTTCTCATTTCCCCTCTCCGAACCCC